AGTCTAGGCCTGAAACGTCAGCTTTCCTGCTCCTCTGATGCTGCTTGGCCTGCTGTGTTCATCCAGCTCTACACCTTGTTATCTCAGATTCTCCAGCATCTGCAGTTCCTACTATCTCATCAGGGTAGATTAGTTGCTTTCTTGAGTGCAATCAGCAATAGTGAAGATTCCATTTATTTTAAAATTCACAGCTACCTAACACTTCTTTGTTGTTTATATGGAACCACGCCAGCTTCCTTGACAGACAGAAAGATCAAAGAAAATTACAGCACAGGAACAGGCCCTTCGGCCCTCCAAGCCTGCGCCGATCCAGATCCTCTATCTAAACCTGTCGCCTATTTTCCAAGGATCTGTATCCCTCTGCTCCCTGCCCATTCATGTATCTGTCTAGATACATCTTAAATGATGCTATCGTGCCCACCTCTACCACCTCCGCTGGCAACGCATTTCAGGCACCCACCACCCTCTGCGTAAAGAACTTTCCACACATATCTCCCTTAAACTTTTCCCCTCTCACCTTGAAATCGTGACCCCTTGTAATTGAGTCCCCCACTCTGGGAAAAAGCTTCTTGCTATCCACCCTGTCTATACCTCTCATGATTTTGTAGGCCTCAATCAGGTCCCCCCTCAACCTCCGTCGTTCTAATGTAAATAATCCTAATCTACTCAACCTCTCTTCATAGCTAGCGCCCTCCATACCAGGCAACATCCTGGTGAACCTCCTCTGCACCCTCTCCAAAGCATCCACATCCTTTTGGTAATACTGTACGCAGTATTCCAAATGTGGTCGAACCAAAGTCCTATACAACTGTAACGTGACCTGCCAACGCTTGTACTCAATACCCCATCCGATGAATGAAAGCATGCTGTATGCCTTCTTGACCACTCTATCCACCTGCGTTGCCACCTTCAGGGTACAATGGACCTGAACACCCAGATCTCTCTGTGCATCAATTTTCTCCAGGGCTTTTCCATTTACCGTATAATTCGCTCTTGAATTGGATCTTCCAAAATGCATCACCTCGCATTTGCCTAGATTGAACTCCATCTCCAAACAAGTAGAAATTATAGCTTTGCTTCAAGTAATCTCCAGAAACTTTTGAAATTCCTCTTGATTCAGAGTGTATCTCCAAGAGGTTCTTTTCTGATGGGCTTACCCCTGCAAGCTATGGCATCATTGTTCAGTATTTTGCATTTGTTCATGTCTCCCTAAATCGATAATAGGCTTCAATGCTGTGGGTTTGGATTGTAGAAAGATTCTATTTTTGTACACCTGCTCAGGGCATTGCTTTTGATTTCTCACCACCATTTCAAGGTCACTTTGCAATTTACCTTGTCTCAATTCTAGCTGCGACAGTTCAACCGGTTTAATGTTTTAAAAATCCATATCTTCAAATTATAGGCATGTGGCAATGTGACAAATTCAATCCTCCTTTGCACTTCACCCTAATCCCAGAGTTTCATCTGACTTAAATCATAGAATCCATATAGTGTGGAAACAGGCCATTCATTCTACATCAATCTTCTGAAGAGTATCCCATCTAGATCCAGACCCCTGCCCTTTCCCTTTAACCCTGCATTTCCCATGGCTAACCCACATAGCCTGCACACTATGGGCAATTTAGCATGGCCAATCCACCTAACCTGCACACCTTTGAACTATAGGATGAAACTGGAGCACCTGGCTGAAGCCCACGCAGACACGGGGAGAATGTGCAAACTCCACACAGACAGTTGCCGGAGGCTAGAATCAAACCTGGGTCCCTGGCACTGTGGGGCAGCAGTGCTAACCATTGTGCCACCCACTTACTAGTTGTAGGTGGTCTAAGTAAGCATTTCCTACTTTCCACACTCCCCTAATCACAAGCATAGCCTTGCCTTTCTCCTTTCAGATACCCAAGGAAAGCAATCTGGCCATGCAAAAGAAGAAGCTCTCTAAGAGATGGCAATTTCACACTCACAGCCAAAAGCTCAGATGTGATACTGCACAAAAATAGCATAAAGGTGACATCTGCACATGGCCAGGCTGTG